TTGTATGCGAGACGTTGTGTGTGGGATGTTGTGTGAGTGATGTTGTGTGCGAGATGTTGTTGTGAGAGATGTTGTTGTGAGAGATGTTGTGTGAGCGCCGGTGCCCAGCCGACACCAGACGACGCCAGACGACGCCAGGGCGTACATGAGGAAGGAGGGAGGAGGACGAGCGAGGAGGTGCAGCAAAAAAAACAAGAACCCCACACAACAATGTGGGGAAAAACAAAAAACCTTGAGAAAACCAATAACAACTTAGTAAAAACCCAAAAACAAAAAACATATGGGAAAACCCAAAGAACCAATTCTGGGGAAGTCTTGAGGAAAGGGGGGGGTCCAGCCAAGAGTCTCTGAGATTTTTTTTTTGGGGGGGTTCTTGTTTATTGTTTGACTTTCAATGTTTTTTGTTTTCTTTATATTTTCTCGAGACTGTTTGTGCTTGTTTTCCAGTGCAAAGGACATTGAGGCAGCTTTCACAGACACATAGCATGAATGCAGGCCACAGTGGGAAGTTTATAGCGCATAGATGGAAGTAGGCAACAAAAACACATAAAATACGCACTCTGGTGGTCCCCTGTTTTGCATTTTTTCCAGCCTAGCTGTGGGAAGGAAAGAAAGAAGGAAACTGTGGTGTCGTGAGTGAACTTAGCGGAGGTAGATGCCATTCCAATGTAGCAGCTTTTAGTAAGAGTTAGAGGAGGCATTCAGTCCAATGTAGCCAGACCTTTTCTGAGCCAGCCCACGGCAAAATTTAGAGAGCGCACAGACAATTCCGTTGTAGCACGCCGGTAAGATTCTGGAAGAGGCAGAGGCGAGCGCAAAAGAAAAAAACATGATCAAAAAGAGGAAAGTATCTAGTCTTCGAGTCTAGTGCTCCCCTACTAGGCACTTGGTCTCCTGGTCCGGTGGTCCTTCGGTCTCCCGTTCTAGGCCTTTCGTTTGCTAGTCTGCTGGTGCCCTGCATAGTCCTTACTCACATCTAGCATACTTTTGAGCCAGCCGAGGGTGAAATTTACAGGAGGCATCAGCTATTCCAATGTAGCAGGGCCTCTTGTGACGTGCCCGGGGGTAAAATTTAAAGGATGCATTTTGTGAGCCTTGAATGTACCAGCCAGCCAAGGGTAAAATTTAAGAGGGTGCAGGCCAGTCCTAGGTAGCAGACCTTGTGTGAGCCACCAAAAAGTAAAATTTAGAAGAGGCAGGAGCCACTCCAAGGTAGCAGACTCTTTTGTGAGCCATGCTAAGGGCAAATTTAGTTGAAGTTGGCGCCCGTTCTTAAAGGAGAACCCTTCCCAGCTGCTTTCTGAGAAGATCGATGCAGCAAGCACCGACGCTTATTTAATTTCTAAATTACCAAGGATACGCCCCACGCCGCGCTGTCAAGCGCTCGGATTGCGTACGCAGCGGCTCACTTGCGCACGCAGTGGCTCACTTTTGCACAGAGGCATCTTGCTATGTTGGAACCTGCTCTGTCTAACTATCCCTTTTATCACCGTTTTAGACATCACGTTCAGGATCATCTTCTTGATGGTTTATCACCATCATCACCACCATCATCATCATAGACTATCAGCCTCATCAGTGCAAACTGTCATTGTTATGTATTGTTATCATCATCATGTTCATCATCTTCGTCGTCGTCATCATCATCATCATCACCGTCATCGTCATCACCATATGAAGTTGCAGAGATGATTGTCCAGGGTCATCACCTGCCTCGCACCTGCCACGAAATCTGCACTTCGAGGTTCACAAAGTGCTGCCCTTGCCACGAAATTTGCACTTCGAAATTCGCGAAGTGTTGCGCCTGCCGCGAAATCCGCACTTCGAGGTTCACGAAGTGAGCGCGTGCCACAAAATCTGCGCGTCCAGTGCGCAAAGTGCCGCGCTTGCCACGAAATCTGCAATTGAAGGTGCTCAAAGTGCTGCGCCTGCCACGGAATCACCATATGAAAGCGGCGCCAGGAAACACAAAAATTCCTAAAGAACATCGTCAGCCTTTGGTCGCCCGCCCTGCTGCTGTTGCCCTGTCCCTAGGTCTCCTATTCCTTTCATTGCTCACTGGGAATATTTTATTTGATCCTTTCTTTTCCTTTTTGATAGCCATCGTACATTTTTTAACTGATGCTGCGCATTTTTTGGGCCCTCCACCTGCTACGACCAGTGTGATGTTATATAATAAGCACGCATGCAGTCTTTTCATTCGCTTTACTTCTGGATGAAACCCATGCTTTGAACCTGTCAGCCCGTCGGCTCACACTGCGAAGCCAGGACTTTCATTCTGCCAGCGTTTTGACCAAACTACAATGAAGACCCAAGTCATCAATGGCTATGATTATAAGGTATTGATTGTACCTGTATACTTCTTTGAACACAACAGGCTACAAAACCATCATGGGAGGAAACGCTGGCTACTGGCAACTTGGAGAGGATAGAGAACCAACCGGACACGTGCCTGGCAGAGAACGCCAACTGCCAAAATTTTCCAACAGAATTGGACACATGGAGAAAGACCGCAGTCAGACAACCAAGAAAGAAAGGACAGACGTTCAAAGACTACTCTACCTAAACATCGTTACACAAGAGATGAAAGAAATCATGCGTGGTGGACTACCTTCAAGATCAAAGACAGCTGCGTGAACAGGGGCAAGAAGGAAGAACCTGTGTGCAAACGACTGAAGCTACACCATCACTGCCACACGATGCAACCCACGAGAAGACGAGCTACATACAAGCAATCGGGCAAATGGCGGAGGTCAAACAAGCATCTACATCAGTGACTTCACCCGAGACCGCACGACGTGCCAAGAGGCAATTTATAGAGCAAACTACAGACGCAACATCCGCAGAAACGACAGCAAGCAGCGGAGCCACCTATATAATTATTATATACAAGCAGGTGACAGCAAAGAAAGGACTACGTTGCTGCGGTCAGCAATGTCACCAATGACGGCCAAGAAGGGTCGGAGGTTATCATGAATGTACCTGTCCATAAAGATCATAAAGCAACGATTGAACAACAAAATGAAAGCAACGCCCAAAAACCCATTGGAGATGCGGAGGCGCTTCAATTCTTCCTGAGTGGCTGAGCATTTCCCCCCATGGCATTTGCAAGTCCCTCAAGAACCTGTCAGTGTGTTCCTGAACAATCTATCTATATATATATATAGTATATAGGTTTTGTGTGTACTGCGTGTGGGGACCAGCACGCACGATGTGAATCTTACCAAGCAACTGCATCCCGAATCTTTTTCTGGCCCAGTCTTATCTGCAAACAAAGGTAAGGTAAGGATCCAAGCTTCCCAATTTTTTTGGCTTTTGGGCGGTCTTGGCTACTACAAGGCGCTCCAGCAAAGCAAACCCCATGTAAAGGCAACAACAACAAAGCAACAGTATCCGCCATTCTGAAGAGATGTGGGCTGCCACTGCAGCATGCACAGACAGAGATGTGTGCAACCATGGTGGAGCCCTTTGCCCGAACTTGTAGTCTGCTACTCCAGGTAGCTGCTGTTGGGCTTCGTCCAGAGGCGACTTTTTAACTTGATGATTTCTTAAATGTTCTTTGTTTGAGCGCATTTTGCGCCAAAGTGCAGGTGCTGGGCAACATTGGGTGGTTTCCATGGTTTTGCTTAGTTTTCATTCCTCACCGGCTAGGTTGACCGCGTGTTGCTTCTGCAAGCTTCGAGAGTGTGCGGAGAGGCCAATCAATGCATGGCTTTGTAGTATGAAGAGGGTGCAGGCGGGGCAGACAAATTTTGACAGTGAAATGCAGGCAAGTCCTGATATTCTTGACCCAGGAGGTGTTCAACCCTTAGCCAGTGGTCTCAAGGTTGCATGGGAACATAAAAAAGCCGAGGTCGTTGCAGCTGAATCAGGGTTCGGCGCCCTCCAGTGCAAACAAGATCCAAATGCCGCACCGCCAAGACTTTGTGTGCTTCAATTTTGATTCCCCATGCCATTCAGAGCTTGGAAAACATCAATTGTAAGGGCTTGCTCATTGGCACGTTGTGTAGGATCCTGCCTTTGATTCGTCTCTATAATTAAACCTCCCATTGAACAGAGATGCCATTGCAGCTGCACCTGCTGCCACTTTTTGAAACACAGTGCTGATGCTAATGCCACAAGCTGACAAAGATGGGTAGATGAGTGCAAGAGCTGCTTGTAGCTCTGTGCTGTGCCCTTCAACCCAGGCTGGTGCAGAGACACTTGAGCGCAAAATGGTTTGTGGCGGAGCCAACTCGTTGGGGGCTGTCCGAAGCAGCCTCAGAGCATCAGGTCACTTTTAAGGGTGTACTGCACGCTGACATGCCCAAGGAACCTACTCCTTGGGCACGTACAGGATTTGCGTTTGTGGATCATTCCAAAACTATGCCGTGACCTTGAAGGGTGTTGAAGGGCAATGTGGCACATTTTGCGCTGTCACGGTGTGTCGTTACGAGTTCGCAAACCGAGGACTGCTCGGACCCTTCACACTACTGGACGCCAGCGGGCGATCCGCTCCAGGCAGGCATTCTTCAATTCGGAGTGCAATTTCATGACGAAGTATGTGTTAAGGAGGGTCTTAAGGACGGTCCTTCTATTATATATTGCACTGAGTAATGCCTCGACTCTACTGAGTAGAGCTACGATGATATGTCCCCAAAACTCTTCGAAGCTGTTTGGCTGAGGGAGCAACTGCTTCACCCCCCGTCACCCCAATGTGGGTGGCGGGGGGTGTTGATAGAGAAAGGTGGTATGGGCACCGCTTCGAGCCAGGACAAGTGATCGAGTGTGCCATCCGTGATGGTGAAGGGCACGCTCAGGGAACGATCATCCTGGAGGTCGCGGCAGCCCTATCCACAGATGGTCAAGGTCATTGGGTGACCGCCAAGTTTGTGGGAGCTAGCGATTCCCACATGCAGTGGTGGATGACGGAAGGTGAGGGCAAAAAGTTGGCAGCAAAATGCGCTTACCACTTTTGTGAAGAGTCATCACACGACTGCAAAGTGACTCGACGAGGAGCCTCTATCCACGTGGAGAAGTTCCGGGTCCTGACGCAGAAGGAGATCAACAGTGGAGTTCCTGCTTGGGCCTTCGAGAAGAGTATGGGGAAGACCTTTCTAGAGTTTCTGAAGAAGAAGGACATGGAGCCCAGGCCCAAAGAAGCAAAGGCTGCGTTACCCTGGGTAGACCCAGGCGTAGAAGCTTCAGAGGATGAGGAAGAGGATTCAACCGTGGAGAGTCCGGGGAAGGAAGGCCTCAAGGCCAAACTCCTTAAGGCCCGTGACGAGGTGAAGAAGCTGGAGCGAGAGTTGACCGGAAAGAAGGTCAGCACCAAGGCAGGGGGATCTAAGGACAAGAAGGAAAAGGTCAAGAAGAAGAAGAAGAAGCAGCCAACGCCCGAGGGTAAGGAGAAGAAGAAGCGAAAGAGGGCTAAGGAGTCACCCTCCTCAGGAGGTGAAAAGAAGATCCCCACCCCCTATCTCTACAAAACGGGGGGGACCTGTCTAAATGTAAGCTACATTTTTCAAGGTTTTTTGGGGGGGGGGGGGGGGGTAAAAAATGTAGCTTACATTTAGACACGTCCCCACCATTTCTGGGTTTTGAGGACCCTTTGCAGGAAACGTCTGAAACACGCTTTGGGGGGGGGGGCGTGCGACTGTCGTCCACCCGACGAGGGGGGGGGGGGGGGGGGGGGTGGGAGGGGCGGCGCCCACCCGAGGAGGGGGGGGGTCGTAGATCTCTTCGGGAGTGGCTCGAAGAGACGTGTTGCGAAACACAAAAAAAGCATGAAGAGAAGGAAGAAAGGTCTAGAGGAAAAAGGGGAAAACACGGAAAGGCGTCAAGAAATCGAAACCTCCAAAAATGTAAGCTACATTTTGGACGCCCCTGAACCGGTGGTATGTACCTAGACATTGAAAGGCTTAACATATGAAAACTACAAAACTAAAGATGCATCCGCCAAAAGCAGCCAAGAACGTGTCCATGCAAAGACTCTACGGTCAAATGGCAACTGAGATGGGAGAGGGGAGGAAAATATAGATAAAAGAAAGACACCAGCAGTAGGAAGCAGCAGCAGATTCTCATGAGC